GGACGTCGAAGAGGAGATCGGAGGTGGAGATCGCATTGGCGAACAGAGAGTGGCCGCGGCTGCGGAGGAAGTACAGGATGTAGTCGAGTGAGTCAGTAGGGATCGATTTCGCCGGAGTAGGGACGAAGGCGGCGGCGGTGATTAGGAGGAAGATGATCGGAAGATCAAGAAACGGTTGCTTCCTCTTGATGGACTTCATTGTGGAAACAGGGGGGGAAATTGAGACTGGAAGAGAGGGAAACAGAGGCGGGCTTCGAGGGGGATTATATCTACTTCTGACAACGGCATCGTTTCCCTCTAACCGCTTAGATTGCTTGCGTTGAAATAAATAAATTTTAATTCCAGAAAAACCCTCGCCTCTCGCCAGGGTTTTCTTTCCTCTCTACTCGAGCCGAACCGAACCCAAAGGGAGAGAAATCAGGACTGCGGAGTTTGGAGTAGTCGAGTCGCACCACATACTGGCTAGCGGGCGGAAGGGGTCACAATGAGCGTAGCAGCGGCGCCGGAGAAGACTGAGGAAGAGCTTCGAAAGGAGATCGATGAGCTCCACCGCCAGCAGCGCCAGGTTCGTTTTGCTTATCTTCTTCAAAATTTTTAGTTTGGTGCTTGGAGCTGATGATTTGATTGATTTATCGGTTGTCTTACGGAAATTTTTAGATAACGGAACGGTTACGTGATCCTAGAGGGCTCCGACGTGGAGGTCTTCCCGGTGGCGGCCCGAGGAACTTCGCCTCCAACGGCGGTCCTCAGCGAGGGTTTGTTCGGCCGGTACGCCTGGCCTATATGATGTAATTTCGAGATTTTTGTTTGTTTTTTTTTTCTTCATAATAATGGAGCTTAAGTTTTGTCTCAGGCGGATAGGAATGACTCAGCGGATCAACCACCTGCAAAGAAACGGCTTCTGTCTGCTGTTGTCAAGGTAATGCCATCATTTATCTGTTTCGCTTGTAAGCATATTTTTGCAGCATTATCTATATGGATGGATGAGTTGCAGTTTTGGGATGAAAATGGGAGATAGTTTAAGTTGAAAAGATGTCTATTACTCATGGGGTTTATTTTGTTGTCATGTGTTGCTGAAAGTTTTCTTCCTCTACTCTTGAATGAGTGCATAACATTTCCCCTTCTGCTGTTCTTGGATTTGTGACTGTAGACTGAGGATGGCGAGATAGTCGAGCTCGGTGCTAAGAATGGGGTTAATGAGGAAGAATCTACTGTTGCAGCCATCAATAATCAGCAAGATGAAGTAAAGCCGCTAAATTTGCGTCCAGGTGGTTTACCTTGGAACCAACGACCACCGAGAAGAGTAAGTCTTGGCATTTTATCTTCTGCCTGGTTTCAGATACTGTCTAGATAGTGGATTGGTCGTCGCCATTTGTTTGCCGGTGAGGTGTAGAAGTTTTTTCATTCATTTACTGCCTTTTGCTGTCAGGATTCAGACATTCCACCTGATGTGCATGTGCCGAGGGTTTTACCGAAGAATGAGGACCCTAGCTTGGTTAGCAGAAACAAGAGGATGTTGGGGCAGCTTCTAGGTACCTTGGAGGTATGTTGCTAACACATGTATTAGCTGCTCTCTTTTCTGTTCATCCTGATTACAGTTGGAAATAGATTTTCATAGACGTTGGATTGGCTGTGAATTAATTCTTTGGAGGGTCTGTCTATCCATAAGGTTCTCACTTATCCTGCAAAACAAAACTGATATATCATGGCTGACGTAGAAAATATGCACCAGCTTCACTCTATCTGGATATTGTCTTTAGTTAAGGACTAGAGAATGACCACTGACAAAGCATTTTTTTCCGTATTTGTCAACATACTCGTTTAGTAGGTACCTACGTGCTTATGCTCTAACTATCTTGGATTTCTTACAAGCATTCAGCCTGATCCTCTTCTTTATATTCTTAGAGAAGCATTAAACATAGCATAGGTGACATATGAGGATTGATTTTAATGCATTCTTATTTCAAGTCCTGTGATCTCTGATCCAAGTGCTTGCTTGATAATGTACATGGAAGTTCATTTTATTCAAGGCCAGGGAATTCAGTTGAATTCTGTTTATTTTGCACAAGGTCACTTAATATGCATCAAAGTATTGCATGGTGATATATTTTTCCGGAGTTATAACCTTGTCCCTTTGTGTTTGAACTGCTCCAGAAATTCAGAAAAGAGGATATGAAGCTCTCAGGGACTGAGGCATACACAAAGAGGTCGAATGCTTTGCAAAAGGTGAGGGTGGAGTATATGCTATTTCTATATTGCTCTGGTGTTGGTTTACCGAGTAAATGTGATAAAAGAGGTGTTGAGCTACAATATCTATGTTCAACTATCCTACTTATTGCAATCCTAAATTGATGTTTTGTGTCTGTCCGTGTATAAGTTAGGGTCAGTTACTGTCAGTTGTGAAATTGGAAGCTAATTGTATTGTAGGTAATAAGAACTTCCAAGTCCGTATATTTTTATGGGATGGTGTCATGGTGATACATTCTTAATTTCTTGAGTAGTCTCAGTTTGGGATATGTCATGGAATCTCATTTTGTTTGGTATGACTTGTTTCCAATGTTTGCATGTGATTACTGTTCTTCATTGAGAACAATTTTTCACCATGTTTGCCTTTCCCTTGTTGTCAATGTGCTTAATGGTTTAACAACTTTTGAAACTCCTTAGGCTGAACAAAGAGCCCGTGAAGAAAGTGAAAGGCTGAGACAGGAAGAGCGTGAGAAAATAGCAGAAAAGAGGAGGAGAGATCTGGTTTGTTCTTATTTCCCTGTGTTGCTTTTGTGGGAGTGGCCAAAAAACCTGTCCACATATTAAGGTTCTTCTTACTTCTGGTGCAACAGGTCCTTAGGGCAAGAGTTGCTGCAAAAGCAGAAGAAAAGAAGTTGGAGTTGCTGTTTCTTCGTTGGAGCGATCATCATAAAAAGTGTTCCAATTTTACAAGGTAAAGATCCTCCTTTCAACAAGTGGATCTGTTTGCGTCCTAGCTATTTTGAAAATCTATCAGTTTTGGTTGATATCAGTTTTTGTCATGCAGGTTATTTTTAACTTAGGTCCAAAAGTGTCATTTTATTGAGACAAGATAAGTTTCTTTTTCACGTGCATATAGCAGTGTTGAAGAGCTGAAGCATTAATTTTCTTGATCCTTTACAGGATATTAGTTGAATTCTGTTTGTACAAAAGGTCTTTATTTGATCCATTGTGATGGTTGTTCTATTTAATTTCAATTTTCAGGACCAAGACTGAACCTCATATTTATTATATGACAAAGAAACCACTGGATGAAGATGCAACCTTGCAACAGCAGCATCAAGAACAGGTAAGCCGGGTGCCACTTCTGAAATGAGGGCTCATTCCTCCATGTCCTAGTCAATCTCCTCTTGATAAATGTCTCGTTGAGGGGTGGTTAACCAATTTGATTAAGTTAACCAAACCAAAACATTAGAGCCAAAGAAACCTTAACTCTGATGCTTGCACGCTGTTACTGATTCACTAGGTGGAACCAAAACATTAGAACCAAAGAAACCTTAACCGAACCAAAACATCAGAACCAAAGAAACTGTTTACAGGCTATTTAATTATTGCTTAGGTGGAAACCAAAAATGGCTCTCCACCTTTCCAAAGAGATTCTTTTAATGGCCAAGTTTGATCTATTTCGAAATCTGGTTGGCATTTTCCTTGTAAGTACTTAATGCGACTAATTTGTTGCCCCCTGTGTTCACTATGATTTGGTTTCAGTTATTTTCGGAATGGAAGGCCGCCAGAAGAGAGGAGCTATCCGAGTACCAGAAGCAGATAGAGTCACAGTACCTTGAAAACGTTGAGAAAGAGCTAGAGAGGTGGCAAAATGCAAGGAAAGCTAGGAGAGGAAATAACAACGACGCAAACTTGCAAGAAACAATGGACCAAGAGCTGGAGAGCCATAGGCTCGAGCATGGTCCGAAGACCACCAGAAAGATCCCAGGTGACAACGAAGACCAAGAAGATGACGATGTGGAAGATATCATTGTCGGGGAGGATGATAATGACATGATGGATGACGTGCTAGCTGCGGAGGATAATAACGACGCGAAAGTTGATGACGTGCCAAAGACGGGCGAAGGTGGTAACGACAGCTCGTCACTGCCTGAGAATCCCGATCAGTGATGATGTGGAGGGTAAGCACCCGCGCATCCGTTTTGAATTCTGAAGTATGGCTATGTAAGCATATTGTGGTGTTCTTGAGGTAGCCCTTATGTTGTAGATGGGTTTTTTGTTTATTTGTTGTTTGTTCAGGATTACTTTTTACTAGTATTTGATCTTCCTGAATTGTAGTATCAGTCTCATGTTGTGGCTTTCCTGATGTGGGTTCAATTATGCTGAATATACTTGGCTGTCTCTACTTTCTAGGGTTCCCCTGTTGTTGTTATGCTTTGCCAGGAGATGCCACTTAAGAGGTGGGAATGGAGTTGGATCTGGTTGGAGTCTAATCACACTTTTGGTTCTCCTGCTTAGGATTTTGATGATTTGGATCCAGTCAAGCTTGTGGTCGAGTCATTTAGATAAGGAATGGATGGTGATTGGTGATTAGTGGAGCAGCTCTTTTAAGTTGCTCTTTCTCTCTTTTCTTTTGCTTTTCCTTTGATGGAGCTTTCTTCTGGTAGAAAGATGGATTCTTTCTTACTTATGGCAGTAGCGTGTAAAAGAAGGTAGATGACCATGTGCCCTGTTTGAAGGTTGTTGATGCTGTTAAATTACTGTTGGTGTAAAAGAGAGTATTTTTTTTCATTTTTTGGTGTGGGCTGACGGTAATTTGAGCACGATTACATTTACCGAACTTTGGAAATGTAAGGAAAAGTGAATAAAGCTCTGAAAAGTGAAAATGAAAGCAGCTCCCATAACAGAAATTGGAACCATCCTTCATATATTTGGCAAAGAAGCAAAGGAGAAATCTCCTCTAACAGCAGTTGCATTTTCCCTCTCCTGATAATTATATATTTCTTTACCGTTTCGTATCTTCTGGTGAACACTTTTCTCCTTTTCCCGATTCCTTCTCTTCATTTTCAGTTGTCGTCACCTCTCTCCTCCTCCGCGCCCGAAGCAGCGCAACCGCAGCAGCGGAGAAGGGGCCGTGAAACAAGAAACCAAAAAATGCCGCCGAATTCTGCCGACAAGACTCTCAACGGCGGCCTCCACCACCACCACCATCAACACCAAACAAAGCTGCCGCCGCCACCGCCACCAGCAGCAGGAGCGGCGGGGCCTCCACTCCCTCCTCCTCCCTCAGCCGCCGCTTTCGCCCAGCACAGCCACCATCACCACCGCGGCGAAGGCGGCGGCGGCGGGGGCCATCACCATCATCCTCGCCACCACTACCACCCCTACTACCCTTCCTCCTCCACCTCCTCGAAAGCCTCCATAAAGGGTTGCTGCTGCTGCCTCCTCCTCCTCCTCTCCCTCCTCTTCCTAATCGCCCTCGCCGTCGCGCTCGTCGTCGTCCTCGCCGTGAAGCCCAAGAAGCCCCAATTCGACCTCCAGCAGGTCGGGGTCCAGTACATGGGGATCAACACCCCGACCCCGACCCCCTCCGACCCGGCAGCCACCGCCTCCCTCTCCCTCGCGATTCACATGCTCTTCACCGCCGTCAACCCGAACAAGGTCGGGATCAAGTACGGCGAGTCCAGGTTCACCGTCATGTACCGCGGAATCCCGCTCGGTAAGGCCTCCGTCCCTGGGTTCTTCCAGGAAGCGCACAGCGAGCGGAAGGTCGAGGCCACCGTGGCCGTCGATCGGTACAGCTTGATGCAGGCGGATGCGGCGGATTTGATCAGAGATGCTTCGTTGAACGACAGGGTGGAGCTCCGGGTTTTGGGTGAAGTCGGGGCTAAGATCCGTGTCTTGGAGTTCGATTCCCCTGGTGTTCAGGTCAGCCTTCCCCCACAATTAATTCTCTCTCTCACCCCACCTAATCATCTCTTAATTATTTCATGAATTTCCTTTTCTGGAGGCAAACCCAGTTCAAAATGATGAATGGTTGAGCTGAATTTGGTATTTCTGGTGTGTTGTCACTATAGCTATTTTAAGCTCCGGTTAGTTTCAGTGCTCTGCTTATCAGCCATTTTTAAGCTCCGCAGGACTCCAAAATCCAAACTTTGGATGCTACCCTCTTCATTTTTGGATCAGATTAGCTTAGTGAGAATTTGAACTTTCAACTGGGGGATTTAAGAGAGAGTGATTTTTGGGTAGTGGTGGAGCCTCGTCTGGTTTTTGATAGTCTGATCTTTACGACATCCCCACTGTCTCGTGTCCACTCCCACGATTCTGCCTCTCTTCTCTCCGTCCTTTACTCCTCCGCTAACATGCGCTGCTGCCTTTTGTTTTTTTTGCGTGTGCTAACATGGGCTGCTAGTAGTAGAAAAACTAGAACGATTAAGAAGTTGATGGCATCATCTTTAGGTCTTTGTTCCCTTTGGCTATCTGGGCCGGCCGAGCCCTGAAACGAGAAAGGTGATAAGACTGATAGTGCCTACTGGTTAAAATGTTGGTTGGAGTTTATGCCGAGGTGAAACTTTACATATTGGTCCATAACACCGATTCCGTTTTAGTGTTTTAGTATGGCCGGGCCATGCGATTGACTATTCGGTCCCAATGGAAAAAAAGGTCCTTTGAAAGTGAAGTGAGCATGTCTTGTGGGTGTGAATGAAGAAATGGATTGGTTTGGTAGGCGCCATTATTTGATGGTGAAGTGGTCGTTCCTTGTCTTCCAACTCTATCCACATTTGGTAGGCGCCATTATATGGTGTAGTAGCATGCCATCTTCTTCTTCTTCTTCCTGGCCCGGGGGTAGTTGGTTATGCTTTCAGTTTTTGCCTTACATGATTGTGTTTTTCATGTTCTGCCATTTTACTGTTGCTGTGTTCTGGTTCGACATCTTAGTCTATGGTAGATGATGATACCATCCACACATTGTCGTTGGACCAACTTCTTTTTCTCGTCCTGGTCATGTTTTGCAGGTCTCGGTGGATTGTGCAATCGTGATAAGCCCGAGGAAGCAATCTCTTACATACAAACAATGTGGATTCGATGGGTTGAGTGTCTAATTAGTTTCATCCATAGTTGATTACTATATTGTGAGCACGAATTAAGGTGCCTCGTATCCTTTCTCCCGGTCAGACGACACCCTGAATCCTGAACATTTAGAAGAAGAAGAAGAGATCAGCAGAAGGTGCAGAGAGGGGGGAAGAAGAACGATGGCGAGCTTAAGAAAGAGAGAGAGAGGGTGGAAGAAAGAAGCCGTGAGCTTCTCTCGCAGGCAGCACATGCTTGGTGGAAAAAGCAAAGCTAACTCTGTTGGTAGTGGTGGGCTAGTGGATGGTGCTGAAGAGAAGAGATTATAATGATTACTACTATATTATTATTTACGTTTCGGAAAAAGCTGTTTTGGGAAGGTGGGAGAAAAATGGCGAAGGTCAGATCTTCCTCCTTTGATGATTTTTTTGGGAGATTATTTATTTTCATAGATTTTTTTTTTTTTTTTGTACTCCATATGGGTTTACTTCTTTCTGAAGGAATTCTCATGGAATAGCGGAGGATAGATGGGAAATGTTGACAACATCAACATGTAACTGTAAGAGCTCGATTTTTTGTCCACTACACTTCCTTTCCCTCTTTTCTTTGCATCAATTATCCAACCCTCTCAGGTTAATAATGTTGCCTCAAATGCATCAACTTGGGTGATTTTAGTTTCAAATTGACTAACGAATAACGATTTAGTATGATTGTAATGATTTAGTATGATTGTAATTCGTATTTTACTTATGTTTGAGCCAAGATACACCTTCCCACCTTTGCTTCAATACCGCGGCTACCCCCGGGTCGAGCGCCTGAGACCTGCACACACAAGCGCCTAAAGGGCTCTGGTCGGCCCATTAGCACTCCAACGCTCAAGTCAATGCACCTTTCTAGAGAGATAAGTGCTGGGAAAGATTTTAGTGAGAGAAGCCAACCTGCGTAAATGCTACCTACCGAGTACTATTTATACTTGCCAAGGTCCCAACGGTCCTCCTGGCATTTAAATCCACGTCATCCCCTCATTTAATGCATGGTACGGTACAATGGTCAGGCGCCTATACGTGGCCGCCTCAGAACACCCCAAAAGGGGGCGCCCAGCAGGGACCACAATCGCCAGGTGGCTCCTTTCCTTGCTCGTCCTTCTGTACCACTTGTCTTCATGCTTCTTTTGTCGTCATGCGCCTGCCCTACGCTGAGAACCCTAACCTATTGTTTGGGCCTGTTTCACCATTTCATCCTCGTGGGCTTGGGCCTATTCATACTTCCCCAACAACTTACACTCTTCTCGAGTTGGATTGGGCGGGTGGCGAATGCATGTGATTAGGTTGTGATTGCGGGTTAACCTGCAAATGCAATTTCCGAATTAAGATTAGACAAGTTGGCTAGCATTTACAATAAATTTCTTACAAATTAGTAAGATTGTAGCAATTTCTACACCTGTCATTTTAAATGATGTCTAGTACTTGTATCAAATTTTTTGTTACCCCATCAACCAATTGTGCAGAGAAAGTTGACACTTTTTGTGACTTTGATACAAAAAATAATTTATAATGTGTATCTCAATATGTTGTGGATATTACACAACATAGAATCCTATGGCAGTTGTACAAAAATATTCTTTATTTTCACTTTTATAAGCGGATGGTCAGTGCATTTATAAAATAGAAAGATCATTCGGTAGTATAAATAAGAAATAATTTTTTTCCTAGTGAAAATGTGGTGAGGGTCATTTCTTCAGGTGGCCCGCAACCCACCCACCAGAATAAGTGTGGACAAGAGGTTTATCTATCCACAATCCACCGACATCTCACTCACCCATTGTGGTTAGGGATGACAATGGGTCGGGGTTGGAGCGGGTTATTGCCAAACCCAAACTCATGGGTTTATCCACCCAAAAAATCCGGGATAAAATCTATTGGATTTAGAAAACTCAAACCCAACCCAACTTGTTGGGTATCTACGGGTTCATGGGTACCCATTAGTTCATGTACAAAGATGCAATTACACTAGTTTTCACTACTATTTTCTACTTCATACACACTAACTCACAAATCATTCATACTACTTCAATATTAAAGATAAACATCCAAAAATAATATGATTAATTGAATGTGCGAGGAATTAATTTAAAAATTACAGTTAATTAGTTAAGGGTTCCATGGTCGTGGGGGTATGGATTTGGGTGCGATATCCACGGATTGGATATGGCTAAACCCAAACCCAACCCAACCCGCTAAAAGTATAGCGAGTTTAAACTCAAACCCAGCCTGCAATCCTTCAAAACGGGGTTTACCTGCGTTGACTGTGTTGGATCGGGTAGGGTACTCACAGACAGTGGCGGATACATGCATGGTTAGGGGTGTCCCGGGACACCCCTAAAATTTGGAAACACGATTATTCAACCTACGATAGTAGTTTGCGTATGAGAAAAAAATGTTTAAATGGTAGTGGGACACCTTTAAAATTTGGGAAAATGATTATCCAATCTCCCGTAGTAGTTTGCGTATTGGTACAAATAATATTTAAGTAGTAGTTTATGTGATTTAAATTTGTGACACTGCCACTATTAGTTAATATATTTTCAATTACGCTACAACTCATCTGTTAGTGTGTTTTAGATCAACATATAATAGTAAAATGTTATTCTTATCTCAAATTATTTTCAAAACCTAACGATTAAACTCAATTATGGGATATCCTTGTCTAGTAGGATATGTTAAGACATATTTGTTGAGCAATATAAACACCGAATGCATTTTATCATTTGACGAAACACGTATGAACTTTTAATGAAACTTTTATTAGTTAGATATTTTCAAATTTAATAATTATTTAATTTAATTCTAATATTTAATTTAATTTAATTTTTTTATAGAGGACACCCCTACGTAGAATTCATGGATCCGCCACTGCTCACAGATTCGGGGTCTACTGCCATCCCTAATTATGGTTGAATTATTAGCATGTGAGTCGATATCATACCGCATGTTAACCACACATGTGCCAACCCCCTACAAATAACCCATAAAGCTCAAAGATTGTTGTGTCACCTCGTAATAGGGATGACAATGGGATCGAGTTGTGATGATTTTCCTATATACCATTCATGTGATAAAAACAATAGGCGGATATTTAATGTAACATATCAAAATCTACTCGTATGTGGTTTGGTCAAAAACCACACACATCCACATAAAACCATATCTATTTTCTTTTATCCAATGTAATTTTTTATTAAAATGTCAATCTTAATTGAAGTTTCTTAGACATTGTTTACGAAAGTGAGGGATAATGAGTGAGATTTGGGGTTCAAGAGATAATTATAATGCATGAGTGATGTGAATGACCAAAAAGGTTGAAGCGAGTGAGTCTAGAAGATAACTGTAGCATATAAGCGAGCGATTCAGTGAGAATACTTACAATGTTGAACCCACTATCTATCTTTGTCGAGTTCAAAAAATAATCATCAAAAAGTAATATGAGTTGTATTTTATACTCGTGCCTATTTCACCGCAACCACGATGATCATAACTGTTCCCGTTGAAATATTTATTACGCGTGATATTCCAACATCTTGTTAGTGTGATCGTAGGTGCCTTATAGCTTCTCATAGAAATACATAAACATATATTCAATTTTAGTTTTATTGGATACCCATGTTGATGGATTATTTTGTTATCCCTATCTCAAGAGTGAAGGCTCAGTGGCGTAGTAAAAAATTCACGTAAGGTAGGTCAAACATGAGAAAAAAATTATAAGTTTTAGTATGTGTTTATCTTTTTTCTTTTTTTAATACAATCATCATACAAATTATGAAGGATGTTAAGATACCACAACAACGAAAAATCGTTCATGATTCCGCAACTCATCTTATTTTAAAGTATTTTTTCACTTTGTTCATTACTGTAAATGCCCTTTTAACACTTGTGATGACACACAGACGTCAAAAAACATCTATAAATTTCAAGTTTTTGTTTATTTTAAACTCATAAAAAAAAAGAGAAATTGAAACTGCTGGGACTGGAAAAGGAAGGCTCAATTTCCCGCCTTGGCAACAAAAAACGCAACTCTACTCTACTCTCTTCTTTCTCCTATCCCTCCCCTTCGCCAATCGCCCCTCTCCGCACCTATCCTATGGCGTCGGAATCGACCCTCATCTCCATCCTCGAAACCTCAACTTCCCCGCCCATCTATTCCACTATCTCCGACTACCTCCAGCCCTTCGCCGAGCTCCGGGAATTGAAGAGCAATTCCGGAGCCCGAAAACCCCAAGCCCACCTTGATTCCGAGTTCAAGACGCTCGCCAGATCCACAGCCAAGCGGTTGGCTCCATTTCTCAATCGCTGCCTCACGGTTTTGCCCAGACGCCTCTCCAAGCCCTCGAAAACCAACGGCTCGTCGGAGGAGGAAGGAAAACCTCCGGATTTCATTTTGGAACTGTTCGATACTTACAAGCTGTGTCTGGACTGCTACGAACTGGTGTCTTCGGCGTTGGTGGGCAAACCGTACGATATTCACTTGCAGTCTGCGAGGCTGTTGCATTGCCTGGTGGCTTGGGGGCTGTATGAGGAGGCGAGAAATTTGGCGTTTGGGGTTTTGGAGAGGCTTAGGGCTTTGGATTTTGGGACGAGGAAAAAGGGAAGTAAAGCGGGGAAGCTTCTGCCGATGATTGAGCAGGGCGGCGATGATGAGATGTTCGCGAAGCTGGTAGTGGAGGTGGCCACACTCATTGTGAAGTGCTTGGCATTGTGTCGAAGTGCCGTTGATGAGGACTATAGGAAGGTCATGACCTTGGTGGAAGAGATTAAACCCTGGTTCAGGTATGTGATTGATTTCTGTTTAGCATTTAAATGAGGAAGTGGCATTGCTGCTAATCTTCTTCTTGGCTTTATTCTCCTGAACTTTCCGAGTTTAGGATGAGCGAGGAGAATGAGATGTGGAGATTTGACGTCTCTGTATTGTTTTGGTATGGGCCTAAATTGCCGAAGTAAGCACAAGGCATTGATAGGATAACCGGAATGCTAAATTTTGTCAGGATGATACTGCTCTTGCATACGGGTACACTTGGTAGATTGCCTGTCTGTTGCTTATACGTTTATAGGCCTTCTGGGACGATCAATGAGAATGAAATGAAAATACTGGGAAGAATGAGGGTTTTTGAGTATTTGTTATTGACTTGTTGCAAGGCTTAATCCAACAGGGACAAAGCGCTCAGCTTATTCATCTCCATTGTTTTTTTTTTGTGGAAGCTTCTAAGATATGTGTTGGATTTCTTGTCGTTCTTTTGTCATAGACCATATGGTACCCTGCTAGGGTCTGAAATCTCTACTGTGTGACTGATTGGTGGTTATTTCTGGTACTGCATTCCAAGTTGTCCTTCTATCTGCATCTATAGTAGATACCAGAATTTCTTGTTAACTTGTTTGAATGTGAATACTCTAGGTTTCTAGACGAAAATACAAAGCAGAGCAAGGATACGGTTATCAGAACTTGCATGGCAAAATGTGCTGAATATCTTGCTGGGAAGTTAACGAATTTTGATGGAGGTTTAGTATGTGCATTCTGTCTGATGGCATTGAACTGCTATGCCAAATCTTCAGTGAAGGATCAGATGTTTAAGGTATATACCTTATCTGTTGACTTCCAGAAGATATACTACAAGATATTCTTTAGTTCCTCTAATAGTTGACTGTGATTGTAGTTTTGTCGCAGGGCAAGTTCTTCACTGTTTTTGTTTCATGAAGACAGGCCTTCGGTTGCCCTTCAAATTCTAATGAGCTTTTTGGATTCTCTAGCCTCTGATTGCAAGGTTGAAAAGGGAAATTGGCAATTGGAATTTATTGATTTTGTCTCTTACATTGCAAGCAAATGTCAGCGTGCAAGTACATCTTTTTGTAGTACTGTTGCTGGGCATCTAAATGACTTAGCTGATGACTTGTCTCGGGTACTTTTTGTTAATTTCTTGTATGTCAACTTGTTATGTGGTTTTCGCTGGTAAAATAACCTTTTGATTGTCATTCAAATGCCCTTGTTTCACAGGTCATGACACCACTGGATTTGTTCATCAAGCTTTACTCTACCTCCATCTGCTTTAACAGTCGTATTTATAAGCCTAGGATAGCTGATGTCGTGTCCTCCCGGGATGATCTTCAACCTGGCAGTTTATTTGATGATGGGATTGGACTTAGCAATATAGGACCTTTTCTCGGTTCCTTGCGGAGCTACAGTATCGATGGTTCCCAGCCAAGTAGTGAAAAAACGAGTTCTGAGAATCATTCTCCCAGTCAGTTATCCTTACTATCATCTCCTCATCCTGGAAATTCATTAAGGACACCACACAAGAGGGATGCTTATCGTTTAGCTTACTTGAATCTGTTGACGTTCTTGTGTCAACCTCTTGCCGAACTAGTAAATTCGCAAAAGACGTGGATTTTTGCTGGAAATGATGTTACAGCTGTTTCTCCTGTGCTCTACAGTATCCTGGTAGGCTTTCAGCAATTCTGCTATAATTTGTTATCTGTTCATAGGTACGTTACCAAGTATATCTATTCCTATAACTTGCTTTTGTTGCTACTGTTCACTGAGTTATAATAATGTGCTTTAATTGTTTTTGTTTTGTTTCTTGAGCTCGGCGTACTACCATAACCTGAAAGCTGGAACTCTTACTTGTTGAAAAAGATAACTTTGTGTCTGTGCCTGTTTATTAGGATAATAAGTTATAGCATCACCTATTTATGTTTAGCCAGTTTGAATTTTTCTAACAAAAAAGGACAAGGGTTGGATGATGGATTTGGATTCAATGAGAGCTATCACGTTCTTGCTGTTCCTGTGGCTGCCTTTATAGTTTCAATCAGGATAAAGCATGAAGTGCAGGTTAGTCTCCTCTTCGATTGTGTGAATATTTGATTTGTCTCCTCTATCTTTTTCTGTCAGAGCATCCCTGTGAAATTTAAATTCATGTTACTCCATGATTGTTGTCCTTTTTTTTATATATAATGAGCATGCTGCATTGGTTGATCATTCAATTTGCTAATTGATTGGTGCTTCTTGTATCAGAATACCATGGATCTCATTAAGCAGGTCATTGCTAGTGATTGGACTCAAGTACGTGAGCAGGAAACTCTATTGCATTGGTGTACTTTTGTACAAGCAAAATCAAGTGAATGAGGTATGATTCTGCACACAGGCATCGTCTCAAGTTCTAAATTGGAAACCGTATAAGTTTGATGCTTAGACACAGTCAAATATATATCATATAAAACCCAACATGGCAAAACCTAATATTTGAATGACAGATGAATTATTTCTTCATTGAGTCGTAATATTTCTTGGCTAAATGGAAGGGTTTCCCGCTCTGGGAGGCGCCGATTCATAAGTGCTTCTTCCATCGCTTTTCTATGCATTAGTAACTTGTGCCATTATGTTAGATGAAATGGATCATTAGGACGCCATAAGTTCATTGCTGTGGTGGATAAGGTACTACAAAAGTACTGGTAGTTTCCTTTTCACTGCTTGTGGCATTGCAAATAGTTCAGTTGTATTTGATTGACTTGTAGCTCGCCAGCGTGTGAGTCTTTTGTGATTGGGAGGAAACAATGTTATCATTATTGGGGGCACTTTATTAGTAATGAGTGAACTTGAGAGAGCTAAATAGAATATTTGGTAATCAAATATACTGAACATAAGTTTGTCTTATAAGGAGATTACCTCCAAAGTTTTGAATTCTCTTTATTAGTTTTTTTTAGTCTCAAACTTTCATATCACTGCGCAGGCTTCAAAAGCTCTCAAATTCTGCTGCAGGGCAGAGTGGGGCTGCCTTAAAATTCTTTTCCAGAATAGGGTTCTGGCTGATCCTTCAGAAGAAGCTTTTCTCGATTATGTTAGTGATGCTTGCACAAGAACTGTTTTTCTTGTTGATCTCCTCGGTCAGTGTGGAAGCATGAAACTGCAGAAACTAATTTTGGAAAGTCTTGAAAATTGGTCTGCTGCTGAGGATTTGTCTATAAAGCTCCAACCTCCAGCGACTCTAGTGCAACAATGGGTGAAGGTCGGATCTCAAGACCTTCAACTCTTCTTATCTTAAGTAGCTGGCTCTTTTAATTGTTTCGTCGTGGCTTCTGTCTGTTTAAATTCCAGATTAACTGTGAACTTAGCCAGAGCATGGGTTCAGACTATAGCGCTTCAACTTTGCATTGCTTGCTAGGTTCTTCTACAAAAGTCTCAGTAAGGTCCATGGGCAAACTCCTACAGCAGGTTCGAAATGATTTGATGTTTAATTTTCTATTCCTCGTGAATATGTAGTTCTATCATGTTGATTTTCTTTACCTTAAATATTTCTGTCTTGCCTGTTTTTCTGATGGTTGATTTCTGTAAGTTACTAGGAGCTCCATGTTTATGAGAGAATGCAAAGTACATACCCTGTATTTTCGTACAGAATGCTGCTGAAAGTCATAGATATCCTCATGCAACATGTTTATATCCAAGAGCAAGATTATTTAGAGAGATCAAGAATCTTGCTTAGAAAGGGATGGGCGTTAAGAGCTAATTTTGATCAAGGTCTATCCGACAGCATCCAATGTATATCGGAAGCAATTTCGTTAATTGTGCGTCATATCATATCTCCTGTTCTCTGATGTTGCTTGTGGATTTAGTTTATCATTTTGTGCACTGCAGAGTTGGCAATTTGATTTGTCTGAAATATGGTTGTTGAACAGAGTTCTAAAACAATTGGCCAAGGAAGTGCATTATCTCATCAATTAGCCATGTCACATAGTTTACGAGCACTCTGCATTCAGGAAGTAGAGCCGAACTCAAAGGTCCTATTACAAAATCTCTTTTGCTTCTCCTCTGGTTAATTTCCTTGCATCTCTTTTTTAAAAATATATATTTTTTCCAGGAAATTATTCGAGATTTTAAAGCTGCCCTAAATCTATGGTTGAGCATTCCGCATCCTGATGGTCTTAGACAAGTCGAAGAGAGTGCATTTACTGGTGATCTGCTGTTAATGTTGTGTAATATATTCGATGTATTAACACTAAAGGTAGTTCTGCTGTCACCTTCAAATCTGTCTTTTATTGCCTTTAAGGGCTATTCCATATCAATATTTGGTCTATTCTTGTACCAGGGTTTCACAGAACTCACCCATGACATCTACAAGCTCATGATTAGATTCTGTGAATGGCGAAACGTGTCAGTTGAAAAATGTGTGCACTTCTTGTGGGGAAGTAGAAGGCTTAGTCACGCTCTTTGCTTCTCGCCAATAGACAATGCCTTCCTTACTGGATTGTCATGCAGTTCCGATGACAAATTCAATACCATGGGGTTTTGGATAGGCTGTCTAAAAGTGTCGATGCCTCTATTAGTTGGATTCCAGCTGAAGCTATCAATTTCATCTTCTTGTTGCTCTTCCAATCTTGGCACTGATTGTCAGTTAGATGTTACAGTTGATGGTGTAAAGAAGGCTGCTTCTGAGCTTATATCTGATGTAAGGTACTCCAAAAGATCCATAGTAGTTCGACTTTTCAAAGTTCTCCAACTAACCTTTTGTGCTGGTCATGCTTTTAGGGTCCTACGAACAGTTGGTCAGCTTTCTTTGCTGCGTATCTTTACTATGATTTGTCTGAAAGGCTTAGGGGAAGTGCGCAATTTATTGAGGTAACTTATTGGTGCAGCCTGTTTCTTTAAACTAAATTTTGTGTTTGATAGCACATATACTCTGTTTGACCATGCTGTGGTATCCTATAGTAGTAAAACTACAAGATAATATGTTGGCTATCCTATTCATTTAAGAAACCTATATGTATCTCAATCTGGAAATTGGAATGAAGTATTTTACTTGTTTTAATGTGTTCAGCTGCAAGCTTGTGTTGACGATGACACATACTGATCTGGCAAAGTTTCATCTTTCTCCAGGCTCTCTCCTCTGCAAGACAGGCATACAAATTGCGCTCCAAATTGTTTCAATACAATTTCACATATCAACGCGGGCATTATACTGAAAGGGCAGATTGCACTCAGAAGTGTACATATAGCATCCAGAACCTACGAGTGAACAAATCAATTGCTATTCAAGTATGGTCCGCTAATAATATTTCAGAGGATTTGGACACATGTTATCTTAGTCCATGGAAAGTGCTTCAGTGCTATCTTGAGAGCATTCTTCAGGTAGTTTACCTATGTTTCTGGATATGGTTCAGGTCTCCATTGGTGTGCATAACATTTATGGATGCTTCTTCGTTCCATGATTCCTTGTGCAGGTTGCTGTCCTGTATGAAATGATCGGAAACGGAGTAGAGGCTGAGACTTTTTTATTGTGGGGAAAAGAAATCTCTAGCTGCTTGAACTTGCCGCTTTACAAAGTTGCATTTTCTACTATTTCTAGGTCAGTTCTTCATACACCCCCTTCCCAATTTCCCTGCACCTGTTTTTCATTGGAGCTGTTGTTAGTTGCTTACTTATCTTACCTGCCTAGGGAAACTATATCGTGAGAAACTGTCTTGGGATCTATCAGAAGAGGAACTTCAAAGTGCCAAAGAAATCTTGGCACACAGTGGCACTGCTATTTCTTGTTCCAGGTGTAGATTGATGCTAGAAAGCTCTGTGAATCAGCAGCTTGGTGATTTGACTCGTAGCCGTTTGGTCACTGCGACCGAGGACATCTCACATGAATTATTATCTTTTGCGGAATGCTTGTACTCATCAGCTCTGGAAAAGTTGAACCTGCCAAAGTGGAAAACTCAATTGGGGAATATGGATGATAGTTCTGTTGCAACATATCCAGAGGGAATAGAATTTGTTGCATCCAGAGTGAAGGCAGGAGTCCGAAAGAGTAGACGAACCAAAAATGCACCAGTATCTTTATTGGAGGAGAATAGGTCTGTGGTTGCGCTTAATACAAGGTCAACTCGATCTAGGTATCGTTCTTCTCAGAAACAAAATGTGAATAGTTGTGCTGAGCCACAAACTGGAATTTCAAAGGGCCGTGAGACCAAAAGTGGTTGTGGTTTATCTCAAACAAGTGGTGAAGGGCGGTTGTTACCGGAGGTAAAATGTTGTAGTGTTGAGGGTAAAGGTACATGCATTTGCAACATTGGGCATTGTTCCATCGCTCCGTCTCTGGAAGCAAAGGAATCTGGATTATTGAGTCATTACATTCAAATGAGATGGGAGTTTGCTTGCAGACGGATTTCTATCGGATTACTTGATGGGATAGGTACAATTCTGCCTTCATGGTTATATATATAGAAGTGTGTGTCATAAGTCTTGAACTTGTTTCCTTTTCCATTTATGCATAAACCTCATTTGGTGTTGCATATTCCTCCATCCTCCCGGTACCTTATCAAAAACTTGTTTTCCGAGCCCTAATGGTATACTGTCACCTGGTGAACCTATTATTATGGTCTGATATGGAGGTTTAGGGATCTAATTGGAGGTTTAAGGTGGAGTTGTTTAGAAGGGGTTGGAAATTTTGAGTGAATGCTGAGTTTTAATTGGGGAAGCTAATGTGAAATTTGTAGAGAACAACAATGCATCCCGCTAAGATGGTAAAAATTTGTAATATTGGCAAGTCGGTTCGAATTCTTGAAGCAACTTCATTTTGCTATTGTTTTATACAGAATCTATTCTCTTATTTACATTGTTTTTCCAATGCTGTTCAGGAAGGTGCCACGAGATTCGAGCTCGACATCATGATCAACACAAAGTTTCTTTACAAAGTATCGCTGTCTTATTAGGTCAAAACCCATTCGGTTTGAATCAAATTTCTATGTCATCAAACTCCCTACTTAATCTATTATCCAAGGAGTGTTTCCGGAATGTTTTTGCTGTTGAGCTTGGGCAAGTGCTTTACAATGTATGCTGGATCTCTTTGAAGAGTTACTGCATGAAGGACGCAAGGTATTTGTTCTTTGATTGCCGTTGGATCTATATATGCAGCCCCGCAACTAGTGTTGTACTTTTCTTCTGGTGCTTTTATTTGTACTTTCTTGATAAGATGTTTATATTAATGATGAATAATTTATCTGTAAGATCGTTCTGACTGCGGTTGTGGGTTTCCGGCTTTCTGTAGCCACTGCCTGAATCTTTCCTGTGTATTGAAATATTATTAAGTGGCTTTAGCCTTTTATTAGCTTCCAGGGGGGTCTTATTTTAGGCAAGCACTTGTTACAGATTGAATGCCAAAACATGTTCCATTCATTTTATTGTCCTGTATTCTCTGTGTTACTTTGTTAGTAGTGATAATGTTACTAGTCCACTTATTAGCTCACATTTTCTGATAATAGGAACATCTGCTGCAATTTCACTCAAATCAAGTTACCGGAAGCAGTGTCTTGGTTGTTACAAGCCTTTGTACTTTGTCGAGAAGTTCCTAACCTGTTGAAGAAGGTGAAAAATAATTGTTTCCCTTCATTTCTTTGGCATAATCTGCTCTTGTGTTCCATGTTCAATATGTGTTTGGATTTGAAATGCTTTACACTGAACACTTGGTGTCCTTTGATGCTTATAGTGAATCGATAATTCTGTTACTGTCATCCATGTTGCTCATGCGAAAGCTTTTAATGGCTTGGTGACATTTGGTTCCTGTATTGTTACTTTGATGAACAAACAGCTTTGTTGTCACAATACTTTCAATCAAATCTTACATCACATCCTTCTATACTTTAGCTACGATGGATCGTTTGAAGTTTTGTTGTTTCAGTTGGCTTAGTATGCTTCTTAGAGCCACAAGTTTGTTCTTCAATTTGAATTAATATCCTCATTAATTGACCTCAAGATATGTTCTAGATAAATATGCCACGTAACTGCTTGCTCATCAACAAGGCTGAAGATGATCCTCATTACCAAAAAAGGATGAAAATGATCCTATAATAGGTTCCGTTTTGAATTAGATGAATTATATTAATGAACTTTAATAATGTTGGATTTGTCTGTGTGTGTTGCACTCGCTGACAATAAGCCTGCCTCGTTTCTTCATCAATAAGTGAAATGACCTACATTTCTCTTTTATTGAAAATTGAGCAGGTCTCCAGGTTGCTTTGTGCCATATATATACTTTCCCCCTCGAAGGGACTTTTCTCTTTGTCCTCCTCCAGCAAGGTGCTTTCGGAGAGCCATTGGGCTTCATATTTTCATCAGGCGTCACTTGGAACCCATCTGAACTACCAGTTCTTGTCGAACAAGACCCAGCTAAACAAACGCCACCGTGCTATGGATGAACAGGTAGGCTATTAGTTTTTCAACTTTCAGTTGCCACAACATATTATTTGTCTGTTCTCCACCAACTCTGATAGATGACAATGCTTGATTATGGGACACCCAAGTTTAGTAATTGGATTGTCAGATTTCCTCTCTTTATTGTTTAAATGTTCTATGTAACATGTTTATGTGCATCACACCACCAAACTGTCATCAACAAAAGAACTTGATTTTATTCTTCTGTAACTTTGATCAGTCCTTACCTGGGTTGTCTTTTATTTAGCATTTAGATCATCAGGATTCATCAACAAGTGACTTGGCGGAAGCAAAATCACATGACTTACCAAGTTCTCGCTCTCCCGCTTCTGTTGGTTTACTCTCAGTCTCACCCCTACCTCTCCAAGTCTCCATTCATGGTTCCAACTTTCTATACCTTCCGTTGCAGAGTTGCACCGCCATTTGTCGAAGATTTGGAAAATTTTGCGAGAGACTTTTTTGGAGACCTTCCTTGCACCACTGTGATTTGCGTAAGCTTGATTGGCGACCAGTTAGCCACTTTATTGCAAGAACTACTCGCATATCCTCCATCTATCCACGCATGGGTACTTGTATCACGTTTAAACTCTACGAATCAACCTGTTGTGGCTGCTCTTCCCGTTTACTCCACTTTGGAAGGTAAGTTGCTTGGTAGGAACTGGGAATTTATCAATTTGTTATCCTGATTGAATTGTTTCATGAAAAAGCATATTATGCTGACTGATTTCCATGAATCCTGTCAGTGACATTGGAAGATGATTGTGCTAGTTCCGGTTACAGAGATATTCTTAAAAGAAATGAGTTGATTAGAAAATGGCAGTGCCCCTGGGGTGCTACTGTCATTGATGAAGTAGCTCCGGTATTTCGACACATATTGGAGGAGAATCACTTGTCATCATCAAATTTGCCACTGGAAGATTCCAAAGAGAACAGAAATGCATGGTGGAGTCGAAGAAAGAAACTAGATTGTCTACTTGATGAATTTCTAAGGTAGTTACTATGTGTCTTACTGTCTTTTACTTTCACTGCCGAGTTTCATGGTCTTCTAATTCCATTTATCATTGGCACATTGCTTACGATTTGCGACACATTAGTCCACTTGAGTTTATGGATTTTGGCCCTCATTGGCAGGAGGGGAACGATTTTCTTAATTGTCTGAACTAATATTGATCACTGTGGATTCTCTTAAAACTTAAAATATGCAATTATTTGCTACGTCTTTGTATGAGTCTTTGATAGCTCATTGTGCTCCAGTTTTATCAATATAATTCCTTTTCCTAATGTAGGAGCTTAGAAGAAAAGTGGTTTGGACCATGGAGGAGCTTGTTTTTTGCTGAACTATCCAACTTCAAGGCCATGGATGCAATAGAAAGCAAGCTGATTCGAGATCTGATATCTAAATGCAAAGTGGCTGTAAATAAAATTCTGCTTAAGGTCATTCTTGGTGCAGGAGATGAGTTTGACGTAGAAACATGTATTAAGCAATTATTATCTGTGAAGAAGGGTTGCGTGGTTGGTAAACCTGGATTGTCCGAAGAAGAAAGTCTTGAGACCCAATCTGAAGAGTCTGAAGCAGTTAAAAGACAAATTGAGCTGGCTGTTCAGTTGTTATATGAGGCTCATAAAAAGATTCAAGAGGCAAAAGAGGGAGCCTCTGTGAAAAAAGAGGCAACAATTCTGGTCCTAGATAGTGAGGTGCAGGTGAGCTTTACCTTCCGACATCTTCACCCTTATTTCTTGTACTGTTCACCATCCAGTATTTAGCACTTCTTTTGGATACTGGAGTATATCATGGGACTGGGTAGCATTTGTTTTCAAGCTAAAGCTTATGCAAAGGTCCCCAGAAGAGTTGGGTAGGTTTTGTATGTTTGAATGCGATGATCCTGCCAACTCTGCTTTAGGGAGAGCAGTTAAATTCAATAAAAATATAACACTCAACACATATGGTTTGTATAGTAATGAAACTGAACATTTCACACATGTGATTTCTATTGTAATGAAGCTGATGTTGCTAATCCATATCCAGATGCTTCCATGGGAAAATTTACCAACACTGCGAAGCCAGGAGGTGTATCGCTTACCTACAGTTGGCAGTATCTCATGGATACTTGATAGGAGCTTCAGACACTGGGAATCAGGATCAACCATCTCTGTTGCATTACCTTGCATAGATCCCTTGGATGCTTTTTATGTCTTGAATCCCAGTGGTGATCTGGATCATACGCAAGCTGCGTTCGAGGAGTGGTTTAAAGATCAAAATTTAGGGGTAAAGGTGCAAATTCCTTCAGTTTCCTATTATGAGATGAGACTCTACTGTGCTGATGCCTGAAACTTTTGAAATGCAGGGAAAGGCAGGATCTGCTCCAACTACCGAAGAACTGGCTTTGGCCTTGAGGAATCATGACCTCTTCATATATTTAGGCCATGGCAGTGGTAATTTAAGTCTAGTCTAGATAACTTTCATTTGTCACTAGAGATGCACTGAGTCTGGTTATCCTTAAAAAGCTTTTCTGCCTTGTAATTGCAGGCACACAATACATATCAGGAGACGAGATTAAGAAGCTGGAAAAGTGTGCAGCAACTCTTCTCATGGGCTGCAGCAGTGGTTCTCTGTCCTTAACTGGATCTTATGTTCCAAGAGGCGCTCCGCTCTACTATCTATTAGCAGGTTCGCCAGTTGTCGTGTCAAACCTCTGGGAAGTGACTGATAAGGACATTGATAGATTCAGTAAGACTATACTTGATTCTTGGATGCGTGAAAGTTCTGATGCTTACACTGACTCTGCCCGGTGCAACCTAGTCAAAGAATTCGATTCAATGAGCATCGAGGGCAAAGGCAGGAAGAGAGTCTCCAAGAAAAAGGCATCTGAACCTGAAGACTGTGACGATGATGATAGCTCAAAACACAACGGTTCTAACAACCGCAGGCCTACTGTTGGGTCGTTCATGGCTCAGGCTCGGGAAGCTTGCACATTGAAGTACTTGATTGGAGCAGCACCAGTCTGTTATGGAGTTCCAACAGGTATTAGGAGAAAGGAGAAAGTAGCACAATAGTTGGCCATCATATTGTGTGAAGGACTCGGGTTTTCATTGGACTCAGTTCACTGTCACACAAGTGAGCTTTTAGGTTATCAAATTGGTCACTCCATCTTGGTCATTGCCGCTGGGCAGGATATGTGCTAGCTTAACGTGTTCAGGTTAGTGTTGTAACACAGTAACAACATTGAATAGTTGTACATAACCCAATTACAGAAATTGAGTTTCAAGTCTAGTGCAAATGTGATGTACCGCATGTTCAAAACTTAAGAGCCATGAATCTCACTTGTCCAAAAAACTAGATGATAAAGCTAGCTTAATTAAGAAAGTGAGGCTTCTTAGAAGAAAAAAAAAAGACATTAGAATTCTATGTTTGGTACTTAGTGGTTCAACAATTGCATACCACAGCAATTGCATACCAGTGTAATAACACTGTTAAAATAAAATAAAATATTTAATTGATGGTATATTGCTATAGTATCAATCAAGGCGAACAGTCATAATGCAGGTTGCCAATATAATTGAATAAACCGATTGCTATAATAAATGAGTTTTTATTCAAATTAGTATAGTAAAACTGTCCTGGATTATTATTTGCTCAATTTGATGAGAAATGTAACTTGCATAGTCATTGGGAAACTTGTATAGAATCCTATTCAGATATTTTTTTCTTTGTTTTATTAGTAATTTTAATAGCTTCATAGAATTTTAAATTTATCGTTTATAATTCAAGATGCATGAAAATTTCTATGTATCAAACTTAAATTAGTGGGGAACTTATCGAAACAAGTTAAAACCACTTGTGTTTCCGTGTACAAACCACTTTGAAAGTACAGTACTACTACGAACATGTAACAAATCCTCTTCTGTGATCTGTGCACGTGAAACTTCATCTTCATTTCTTTATTTTCAAGTGTTTGAATTTCTGAACTGCATAAATGCATCTAAATAATAATAATAATAATTCATGAACATAGACAAAACAAGAAAATAGTGATATATAGATTATCCAAATCTCAGTTAATTTAATTTCTCCAGCCTTGAACTTAGGATTCAGGTCAAGTTGCCATATGCACATTAATGTCAGTTTAGATTATAGTTGTTACTTGCTAATCTCCAATAAGATAATATTGCTATATATAAAATGGAGAGAACTGGAACAGATCCTACGATCCTGGAAGAATTAATTGCTGCAGCTGCATGCATCCATTTTTCCATCTTCCTGACACACAATTAAGTATATGCAACAAAGATCAAACAGATAGAATGGATAAGAAAGAACATTAGTATTTGTATTTCCAAATGTCATACATGGCTGGCTGCCTTCGATCCAATCTATCACAAAGGATTAACCAAGTATCAGTAACTTAATTAACCAAAGGTCAAAAGCAAAGAAGCAAACTCTGTCGCCCACCATTTTTTTTTTTTTGAGGATTATCGTTTGCTTGGTTCGAGTTTGAAACCATTGATATCCTTCCTACATTTACATGTGAAAGGTTTAATATCGAACGAGGAGTTGAGCGGAATTTTTGCTCCAACATAATAAATTGTCCGAGCATAACGTCAATTCAATGCATTGTGCGAAACATAAGCATGCACAATCATATGAGACGATATATGACTAGAGAGAAATGTAGAGAATGACATGTACACTTATATATCGATCATTCGATAACAAAACATCTACAAGGCTTAATATTGATAAGAACTAAGTGGTGATTAACTCTCAATCATCTATTACTCAAATACTCAATTGGGTTTTTCCCCACCAATTTTGGAAAGTAACAAAACTGTTCACAGTTTCTTATAATTCTACAGTGATTCTCTCTTCCCTTATTGTAGTTGAAGCCATGTATTTAAGCAAATTAACCAATTGTCCGGTGCAAGACTACACCAATGTTTTAAGTGCACCAATATACTGCAGTATATATTGCAGAGCATAGTTAGTAAAATACGGTACGAGAAAGTTACATATAAAATACGTACGAGTATTTTACTTCATCTTTAAACTAATGTTATGTTTAATAGTACGTTAATAGTCATAAATATATAAAATTAATTATTTTTAAAAATAAATAAATAAAGACATAACCATATAGGTGGCTACTTCGGTGCACTCACAAAAAATGAGTGCATTCAATGCACCCAAACTCTAAAAGTAGCCTTAAGACATCAATTTTTTATTTTAATTGGTAAGATTAGTGTAATATGATAATATAATATAAGATCACAACTAATCAATGCATTACCCTAAGCCCTAAACCTTCAATTTTGAACTTTTGCCCTAAACCCCAAATCATGAACCCTAACACTAAATCTATAAATCATAATTTCTTCAAATTAATGTAAATTTCGAATAATTTTTGTGCTAATTCATGGGGTTTGTTGTTCATCGTATCATACGTGATGATTAACATTATTTTGACATGAATCGCATGCTCATAATGACAAATATGAAGCGAGTGCAGTGAATGCACCAAAAAAAGTGAGTGCACCGAAGACATAACCATATATATATAAAATAGTAAAGTTAATAATTTAATTGATTAAATACGGATGTTAAACCTGTTATATAGGTTTTATACGTGTTTAGTACGGGAGCCGTCAAATGTACGAAAACAAATAAAACGGTTTGACAATAATACGGATACAGAAGTTTTAAACGGATAAAGTACGTACGTACAGGTACATATACGTGTATTAAACGGAGTATTTACTAACTATGCCGCACAGTGCATGCAAAGCACCAATCATTACACAATTTAGGGAATTAACAAGCAAAAATTAATTAATATTGGTCTCTCTTGGAGAGATTAATTAATAAAGCTACACAATTATCATTACACACACATAGAGAATTAGGTTTCACCTTTTCCATTTCCCACCTTTCCAACTCAAATTACTACAGGATCACCATCCTCAATTTCCTCGGTATTATTCTCCCTACGAATCAAATTAGGTTCTAGATGCCCTAATCAATTATTGCCGGCTAATGAACTACTCAAACTTAAATAGCCTACTAATCAAGTACCAAACCCTAGTGATTATTACTAGTAGACGCCTCTTTATTAATGAGCGAAGAAATGGCAGCCGCCACCGCCACCCTGAACTTGGGATCCGCCGCCATGGCCGTGCTCACATTCTCAGCCAACTCGCCGCCGCCAGCCGCCTTCCGCCTCCATGGCTGGTTTCCAGCTGCTGTGGGCAGTAGTGGATAAGGATAGAGCTGCTGACTAGGCGGCGGAGGAGAAGGGCTGAACAGTAATTCCTGCTGTTGGTTGTACGGGACGTGGATGAAGTTGCCTGCTGCCGCGGCGTCGTTTGAGGAGGGATGGAATAAGCTGAAGGAGGAGGCGGCGGCGGAGGGAGTGGAGGAAGCCATGGCGGCGGCGCCGGCGGGGAGGGGATGGTTGTGGTTTCCTTCGTAGGTTGTGATGAGAATGGACATGTCGTCTTGACACCGTTGGACCTGCTTGCGGACCGGGCAGCCCGGAGCTACGGTGCAGCGGTAATATGCACGCGGGCAGGGGTTTCCCTTAGCGATCTTCTGCCCGTATTTCCGCCATTGGCAGCCGTCGTTCATCTATTCAACCAAAACAAAATTCATCCATGAAAAGATAATTCAAAGGGTTGATTAGTTTATATTGATGGGGATCTAGTTTATATATATATATATAGTGATTTGTTCTATTGACTGAAAATTTTGAACCAGATCAAATGTTATCATCTTCGCATATCATTGCTGGTAATTTCGTGAAGTATTTCATAATTCGTGATAGCTATTTTCGATGGAACTTACAGGAAAAACTAGAAAATGGAGGTGAATATGAATAAGGTAACGAGAAAGACCAAAAGATTTGGTAAATGAATGAAGTTAGCAAATCCCGTTTGATAATATTTTGGCGGAACGCGATATTGACACTCAACGACAACCTGCTTACAAATTTTATACAACGATGGTATACAATAGTTTAGTACGATGGTTTTTTTAAGTTATACCAATTTGTAGGGGGGAAAATTAAAGTGAACTTGATTTATATACCTAGACTGTTTTGAAAATAGAATTGAAACCATATAAAGAGATAATTAAGCGAGCTCACTAAGATATTGTAAGAAGTCATTGAATCTCAACATGCATTTATATTGATATAGGAGTTGAAATTTTAGTTTTAAAGTTTTATTTTTTTAATGCAAAATCATGTGCATTCCCTAAGTGGAAATTAATAACTTCCCATATTATTTGATTTGAAGAACATATAGCATGCATGTGTGTGGTCTGTTTCTTTCATCGATTAAGGTGAACAGATAAGTGATACACATGCAGCTGATATTATTGAATCTTGACACAAATAAGCTAAGCTAGAAAAAATGTTGAATCGTATAAAAACTTGACTAAATGAAAAAAAAAACCTTGAGAAGAAGAAATGGAAGAAATAAAATGAGATGACGAGGAAAGGAGATGGACTACTGACCGTTGAATATTGACACCTGGCTCTGACTGAAACCCTAGCTTTCCGGTTGGCCGGACACGAGGAAGAACTCGTCGTGGTCGTAGTTGAAGAAGCATGCCCGTTATTACTAATGGCGGCGGAATCAGCTGCCGCGGCGGCAGCAGCAGCAGCAGCTAACAAATTCTGCTGCTGATCATCCCTTCTCTGAAGCTTATTTGGATGAGCCACCATTAATTCCCCGCCATCATGCACTAATTCCAGATCTCCTCCCAAGACTAGCGGCCGCCGTCGTGGAACCGGCGGCGCGGCGGCAGCGGCAGTTTGGAGCCTTAGTGACAGTCCCAATTGATCATCATCGTAAGTTGGTCTCTTGTTGGGATTATTATTATTATTATTATTAATATTATTCTTTGGCTTCTGTAATTCTTCCGCTTGTGCACCTTTGCCACCATTGTTGATGTTCCCTCCAAGGGAGAGGTAAAGCTCTGGATCCTAATTAATATTATTTCATCATCATCAACAAACAAACAACAAAACACAAGTCCAACCATGGAGAGGATTAAATGGTGGCACGTAATTCAATAGATCCATCCAATCCTCCAGTAAAAATATTAAAAAAGATTAACTCACATGGTTTTGTTTGAAAAAAAATAATTGAAGTAATTAATGGTTACCTTGGGTTTAGGGTAATCAGTATTGTTATTGTGTTGTTGCTGGATAGAGACGAATTTCAATTGAAGATCGTAGTAATCTTTGGCGGTCTTCTCCACAACTTCCCTCAACAGTTTGTTCTCCTCTTTCATCTTGTTCATCTCCATCTGCAGAGCACACAGCTGCCCCCGCGGAACCCGCAAATTAAAGCTATGTATATGTAACAAAATTCTCTCGATCGAGGCACGCAAGATAGCAAGATAATTGTACGAACCTAACTAAGAGATGAAATGACATCTTCTATATATATATACCTGATGATCGTCCATTTTGGTCTTGGTCTTGTTACTCACGTTATCTTGCAAATTGGATAACTCGATGGAAGAATCTTCACCATCATCCTCATCCCTACCTTCATCATCATCATCGTCGTCGTGTTTCTGCTCCCGTTGGATGGTTTCTGCATCAATGGCTTCCTTCCCAATTTGAGAATCAACTTCGTCGAGTTTCTTCTCACCCTTTGACCGCGGTTTGTCCCTTCCTTCTTGGTCTCTTGCTTCTGATGATCCGATTTCTGGATCCACAACTGCTTTCAGAGACAGATCAACAACTTCCACTTTCATCCTCCTCGAATTTTCGAATATGAGGGGAGATCGAAAACGGATGAGCTATAGTTATAGGGTTGAAAAGACAATGAAAAATGGGTTGGTGTACAAGGGAGGAAGAAAGGTGGAGAGGGAAGAGATGATGCGTGTATAACTAGCTAGGCATGTGTAGTTTTAATATTGATGTGAAGAAGGGGAAGTAAGCTATAGGCTATATAGTTAGTTATAATAATGTGTTTGTGTGTGAAGTATAAATGCAAGAGATTAAGAAAGGCACCGAAGTCAAATCCCTCCTTCATCCCCACACTAAGCTAGGAGGACGCATGATCTACAAAACCTTCTTCCTTTGACTTTGCTTTTCCTTATTAATTACACATCTCACTAATTAAACTAATTATCCCCCCCCCACTAATTACTTTTAGCTGTATACGTAGAAAGGCAGTAATTACTTTAGTACTTTCCCACTTCATTAGCTAATCTATTACAAGTGGGCCCCTAATTAATTAACTAGTTAGTAATTCAAAATTAACTCTCCCTAGTTTGGGGATGACATGTATTTACTTTATGTGGCCGAAGAAGGTTTTTTAACATCTACCAAAAGGTAATTATATATTAAGATCAAAGACATTACACTCTGGTATGAAGTCAAGACCAAAAATTTAAGTATCTACATGACATCCGGAAGAAAGAAAAGGTTTTTCTAGTCATCAAATGGGCTATCATATTATTAATCTGACCTACAAATTCTACATCAAACTCATTGTACAGTGCCAACACATATAATACTTCCTCCAGAATGGCCCCGAAAGTGGTTGTCCCGCTTATCTGCCAGGTATATCTTGTCAATTACCACCTTCGCACCCCTTTCAAACTGAACTTGCGTGAGCCCACGATCCAGTACACCACTCGATGGCCTCCCGAGGGACTAGAAGCTTTACTAAGGTTGAATCGTCAATAGACTCAAAATTGTTGGTGAACATTAGATGTGTACATTGTTGTATTATATTAAATTTTCTTATACAAATAATGTACATGGGAATTATCGATTAAAAAATTATATAGGAAGAAGACGAGCTCGTACGAAAGCATGGCAACTTTAATCAGGAAGGTGCTAGGAAAACAAATATAATTAATTAATAAGACTTGTGTATACTGTCTTCATAGAATTGGGTTTTTTGGGATCGCATCTTGGAATTGTCAATTGTCAACTTACGGATTCCATGATCTCTTTTTCCATGTTGCATTTCAAAATACTGTTTTTTTTCCTTTCAGTTTAAGTATTGTATCCATCATAATAGTAATTAAAAAGATTATTATGTATTAATACGTACATAATCAATATTTAATTCATTAGATTTAAGACATTGGAACACTAAAATTAAACACAAGTCAATGGATGATACCATCATCATCGAGTTTGCTCATGCTGCCTCTCAGATGTTGTTATTTTCAGAAAGAAAGAAGGACATTCCGGCTTTCTCGGAGTAAAGAAGAAGAGACTTGCGAAGCCCTAGTTTCACCAAGCCTCCCATGGGGGCGACTGTGCCGTCCAACAGGCCGGAACCACAACGAAAACCCCCGGAAGTAACGAGTGGGGCGAGGCGTCCGGCTACTGTGACCTCCTCGCCAAATGGCAAGAATGAGAAAGAAACTATGCAGCCAAAAAAGAAGGCCATGGCTTTGAATCTGGACCATGAGAACGTGGAACTGGAAACTGATTTCTCCTCTGAGATGGAAGCTGAATCCCCGATTCCAATTGGAGAAAAGGATACAAGGAAGAACAAGATGGACGGAGCGTGGGAAGGCGAAAAGCCAAAGCTATTCAGTGAGGTCCTCATGGAGGAAGGATGGTATGTAGTGGAATCCGACTCGGAAGATGTAGCAGAGCGGGAAAAGGAGGAAGATGAGGTACTGGACGAGGAAAACTTTGATCCTCCTGCCCCCAATCTTGTACACGGCAGCCCAAAAGATTCATTGGAGAAGAGAGTGGCGGTCGGCTCTGGTCGTAAAGGGCCTAGGCAGAAGAGCAGCCTACGTCCCCCTGGCTCGAAGACTGAATTCGTTATGGGCGCGACATGGTGACATCCAAATTTCATATATGCAGAATGGTTGTTTTCTGGTTCGTTTCCGAAACCAAAAAGACTATGATTTTGCGACGATGGGAGGCCCATGGCTACTGGGCGAGACATACCTCACGGTGCACCGATGGTTCAAAGGTTTTAATCCGTGGAAGAGTGAGATCACATCCACTTTGGTGTGGGTTCAACTGCCAGGGCTCCCGGTGGAGTTCTACAATAAGGAGGCAGTGATGATGATAGCAGAAAAATAGGAAAACCTGTTCGAGTGGATAGAGCTATCGAGCTGGGGGCACGTACTAGATTTGCCAGAGTCTGCGTCGAAGTGGATTTAACAAAACCATTGCTTGGGAAGTACAGTATTGAAGGGGTGAAGTATCTGATTGGATATGAGGGACTTGAAAATATTTGTGATCAATGTGGCACCTATGGAAAACCAGCTCATCTATGCCCATGCAAGGACCCACCCATTGAGGAAAACGTGGACGAAATTGAAATGGTTGAAGAAACACCAGTGGAGGACCCAAGCAATGGACGAGCTTTTGGGGAATGGATGTCCGTAAAGAAGAAAGGTAAAAAGATAGGAGGTAATCAGGGAAATGTCTCCAACAAAGACCCAACGGCAAGAACTAGAATGGAACATAGTAATATATTTACCAACCTGGTTGGTGAAGAGGAGGAAGTCTCCACCCATACACATGTAGCCATGCAAACAGGGGAGAAAGAAGTTGGGAACAAAAAAAGGTATAAAGACAAAGTGGTTGGAGAAAATGAGAAAGGAAAGAAGGAGAACCTAGAAGCAAGACAGAAGCAAACTGGCAAATGAAGCAATGAACAACATATCAAAAACAAGAGTGCAACACATACCAAGAAGAGTTCTGGGGCTAATAGCCAAATGGAGAAGGAAAAAACAGGTGGTCAAAGGCATAAAGAACCCCAGGCCTCTACAAAATAACAGAGTCAAAATAAAAGGATGGAGCGTCCAATGCAACTGCAAAGACACAATGGCTGAATGGTGCGGGGAACCTATCCCCTTCCGGTGATCAATGAGAGTACTCAGTTACAACTGCCGCAGATTGAGGGGGACGCGAGCAGTAAAAGCCCTTGACTCACTTTTGCGACATCATTCCCCTCAAATGGTTTTCCTTATGGAAACCAAACAAACACAGGAAGAGAACGAGGTAACACGAACTGATGGATGGTCAACGGACAGGAGCAACGGCGGGCGAGCAGGTGGCCTTAGCCTATGGTGGAGAGAGGGAATTAATGTTACTGTAATGTCTGCTTCTCTACACCATATTGATGTAATGGTAGAGGAAGAAGGAGGTGACGTTTGGAGATTCTCGGGAATATATGGGTGGTCAGAAGATCATGAAAAGTGGCAAACATGAGATTTGATTGACCGTCTTTCCAACCAATGGAACGGACCATGGCTTTGCGGCGGAGACTTCAATCAAGTCTTATCAGCAATGGAGAAGCATGGCGGTAGAATAGCATCTGACAGAAATATGAACGAGTTCCAGGGGAGCCTCACGGATGCTGGTCTTCGGGACATGGGATTTCGGGGTTACCGATATACCTGGGAAAATAGAAGGACAGGCGAACGGTTCATAGAGGAGAGGATCGATAGTTTTGTTGCCTCGGATAGCTGGTCGGAGGTTTTCCCCCGAACTAGAGTCTCCCATCTAGAGAAAGAAAAATCGGATCATCGACCTCTTATCTGTGACACAAAAGGGAGGAGGATGAAGAGTCACGCTGGGGATGGTCGTTTAAATTTGAACCCCACTGGGTTAACCATGGCGAATGCCCGAAGGTGATTGCCAAGGCATGGAACCAACGGAGCGCGGAAAATACCCTAACAAAGTTGTTGTTTTGCAGGACAAAACTGGAGGAGTGGAGTCGCCGAGCTTTCCCAAACTTCCAAAAGCACAAGAATCGTATTAGGAAAGCGATAACAACGGCTGAACGCTTCCCAAGGACTGTAGAAACGGAAGCCCAAATTAAACAGTTAGAGAAAGAACTGGACGAGGTGGAGAGTGATGAGGAATCATAATGGAAGCAAAGATCGAGGGCGGACTGGTTAAAGGAGGGAGACTGCAACACCAATTTTTTTCACAGGAAAGCATCGGCTCGGCGGAGGAGAAATACAATTAAAAGACTGAAGGATGAAGCCGGTCTCTGGGTCTCTGGCCAGGACCAACTATGCCAATGTCTGACCGATTATTATAAGGTGCTTTTCTCAGCAGGGGTGGTGCCTGGAGAAACGCCAGTTCTGGATTCCATTCAACCGTCAATCTCTGCGGAGCATAACTGCGAGATGGACAAGCCTTTTGACAGAGATGAAGTGGTTACAGCTCTGAAACAAATGGGGAAAAGAAAGGCTCCAGGAGCAGACGGCATGTCTGCCTTGTTCTATCGTCGATATTGGAACATTGTAGGAGATTATGTGGTCTCAACAGTGCTTGGAATTCTGCTGAACGCAGTTATGCCGGACCAACTAAATCACACTCTTATTGCGCTAATTCCCAAGGTGAAGTCGCCGACCTCACCTAAGGAGTTCCGACTGATAAGCCTGTGTAATGTTCTCTATAAATTGGTAGCAAAGGTAATAGCCAACAGATTGAAGAGAGTTCTGGACTATGTGGTCTCACCGGAACAAAGTGCTTTTGTTCCGGGAAGATTTATTTCGGACAACATCATGGCTGCTTTCGAGTGTTTCCATACGATGAAGAAGAAGAAGAGCAGTGGCGGTCACAGAATTTTTGCTGCAAAAATCGATATGGCAAAAGCATAATGATAGAGTGGAATGGCACTTTTTGGAAGGAGTTATGGAAAAAATGGGGTTCTTGGAGAGATGGAGGAATTTAGTGATGATGTGCGTGAGAACAGTCTCATACTCTGTTCTGGTTAATGGGCACCATTCTCCGAGTTTCATTCCAAGCCGAGGGCTACGACAGGGAGAAGGTTCTCTCTGTTGCAGGTCGGGAAACACTTATTAAGGCTGTTGCCCAAGCACAATTCACATACGCTATGTCAGTATTTCGTATACCTGACAGTACCCTCAATGAAGTTCATAGTATGTTCTCAAATTTCTACTGGGGACAAAGAGGCTCAGAGCAACGAGTGCATTGGATCAGCCGGGAAGGGTTGGTGGTCACAAAGGAAAATGGCGGGCTGGGGTTTCATGACTTGGTGGGTTTCAATACCTCCCTCCTCGCAAAACAACTATGGAGACTACACCAGCGCGAGGGATCACTTATTGCAAAAATCTTTCAGGCAAAGTATCATAAAAATGGCTCTATTTTGGATGCTCAGGTTGGCCATAATCCCAGCTTTATTTGGAGAAGCCTTCTCAGCGCACAAGAGTTCTTGAACGATGGTCTGAGATGGAGAATTGGAGATGGTTCGAGGGTCCGAATTTGGGGGGACAAATGGCTCTCGTCCAGCACGTGTGGATATGTGGATTCTATCCCTATGGGGTTACCAGTTGAGTCTACGGTCCGCGAGCTGATCTGTCAGGACGAAGAGAAATGGGATGAAAACCTTATTAATAGCTGCTTTCCGGTGAACATCGCTGAAATGATCCGCCAAATCCCACTTTGCGACAACGGGGAAAAGGACCAGCTGATTTGGGGAAGCAGTAAGACAGGGGATTTTACTGTGAAAGAAGGGTATTACCAGTGGGTACAGACCAAGATGAAGCAAGGATTATTCCCAATCGAGGGTGAATCGGCAGTCTGGAAAATCTTTGGGCTATGAATGTCCCCCCTAAAATAAAGCACTTCATGTGGCGATTTGTGAGGGACGTTCTGCCGACGGGGGATCATATCTCCGCCAAAAGCAAGCGTTGGGGCGACAAGTGTGCTTTCTATGATATCAGGGAAACACAGATCCATCGTTTTGCTGAATGTGAATGGTCTTCTCGTCTTTGGCGTGCCTCCAACCTTGCTGCCTGTTTTACGGCGCGTGGAAGTGTTGATTGCTATACTTGGGCGAAGTGTGTAATGGAGACTATGGATGCAGAAACTACGGAAAGGTGGGTTACTCTTTTATGGTTTCTGTGGAAGGAAAGAAACTCCCATCTCTTTAATGGGAAGAAGTTACCAGAAAATGAGATTGTGAACAGAGAGGAAACCTTTCTTGATGAATATCATCACCATCAGAGATGCAGGCAGGAGGAAAGGACGCCCTTGACTCCCAACCATTGGGAGAAGCCGGGTCCAGGCCAAGTCAAAATTAACACGGACGCATGCATTCTTGAGGGTGGTGGAGCTGGCCTGGGGGCAGTCGCACGAGATGCTAAAGGGAATTTCATTTTTGCAGCTGCGAAAAAGATAAGTGGTCATTGGGAAGTAGAGATGGCAGAGGCACTTGCAGCTGAGTTTGGAGTTCAGCTTGGCCGACAAATGCAGCTTGCAAACAGATTGTCTTGAACTGGTGAAAAAGCTTGATACTGCAAGGTCTGTTCAAACGGAAATTGGCATTGTCTGTCATAACATCCGTCGATACTTGATTGAGATGGGCAGTGGTAGTTGGAGACATTGCCATCGAACGAGTAATGCAGCTGCTCACATTATGGCGCATGCTAATACGAGATGGGATGAGCGAGTGACTTGGGTTGAAAGACCCCCTGTTTACCTTTTAGATCAGCTGGTTGCTGATAATGTAACTCCTAGTTCCGAGCAATAAAAGCTTCTCGCAGGTTACAATAAAAATAAAAATAAAAGATACCATCATCATCTTTCCCCCAACGATCTATAGACATATAATATTATTTATGACCAGTTTTTATTTGTTTGTTTGGCCCTAGAAAAGCTCCCCAAGAGCATGTTAGTCATGTTATATTTAATTGAGTGTTACATTTGCATAAGGGCGGAGCTATGTAGCCTTTTGGATTGCTCCGACCTCTTGAGAATTTTAAAACTTGCTTATAAAGCTCTAAATTATATTGAGAATTACTTATAGAATTAAAGTTGGATATATATATATAAAATTCGAGTGAAAATTTGTTCACATACGCTGCTTATAGTCTAGCCGAATTGTTGCTGAATTGTAGGCAACAAGGGTACAGGGTTCGAACTTTGTAGACAACATTTTTACTATTTTTACTTTTTTCACTTAAGTCCTTTAATTTTCATGCTTGGTATTATAATCCTGTGATTTCAAATAACGTCAGTCAAGTTATTGAACTTACACAATCATATTTTCAAGGATGTGTTTTGGATATGTAATTAAATAATTTATAGAAACACTAATATAATCATGAATTCATATTCAAGGTATAATAATATTGTAAAAAAATTACATGTTAAATTGCATGATAATTTGTTCATATTTTAATAATTTATTTTGAGCATAGCATACTAAAAAATTTCAAATTTATTTTTTTGATTATTTTAATTAATATTATGTCGTTATAATTTTTTAATTTCACGATTATGTGATAACTACCCCCCCCCCCCCCCCGAACTTACACATTCATATTTTGAAGGATATGTAATTAAATAATTTATACGAACACTAATATAATTATAAATTCATATTCAAGGTATAATAATATTGGAAAAACTACATGAAATTGCATGATAACTCGTTCATAGTTTAATCATTTATTTTGAGCATAGCATACTAGAAAACTTGTAATTAATTATTTTTTAATTATTTTAATTAATGTTATGTCGTTATAATTTTGTATTTTCACAACCCCCCCCCCCCCCCCCCCCCCCCCCCCCCCCGCGCAAACTTTAATTCTCAGCTCCACATCTGATTTGAATCGTGTCAACTTTTTAATTAACGTGAAGAGAGAAAAAGAAAATGGTTCTTCACAAAATTTTAAGAGAGAATAATATTGCTAATGGCTTGGACCTAGCTACATGGGCTTTTAGTCAAGAAATTTAGGTCTCTTGGACTTTTTGTATGGGGCTTAAGCAAGGCTGTGGAGAGAGCAACTCGATTGGTTTGGAGATGTTAGTTAATTAATTAACACTAGAGAGGTAATTAATCTTTAGAAGTATTAAACATATTTGATAAATAAACCCCCTTCAATTAACCTTTCAAGCCTTCCCCTTGATTCTCATATATTATGAGGGTTTTTTAGTTTTTAAATATTTATTGGAGTAGTTTTTGCGCAAGTCCTTTAAAAAATTTGTTTTCCATTTTTTAATTGATGTGTTCTCCCACAATATCTTTTTCTTTTTAATGATTTTTTTTCCATTTTTGAATTGATGTATAACCACTTTTTATATCTGATGTCTTTTCTTTTCTTTCCTATTTTTCTTTTAAAGATAGAGTTTATTTAAGGTGTTTTAGATGGATTTTTAAAGAAAGTTACGCAATTGCAATTATCTTGTAGTAAAAAAAGAAATCTCCCACTCCGACCAATTTCGACGGCCTCGCCATCGATTCTTCGTTTGCAATAGCTATAGCTGAACGACAAACAATGGCGGGCCTGATTTCCCATCCCGGCCAGCATTTTACCATATAAAGAAGCCGGCGGTGGAATGGCGAGAATTCACGTTCTGTGGAGAGAACGAATATAAGCTTTACCTCTACAAGATCCCCCATCCCTTTCCCGTCTATGTACTCATGTCATGACCCCTCAATCCGCCACAATTCTCTTTCATCCTCGCAATGGTTACCTCTACCCAGCACCCTTCACCCGGCGACGTTCTCATCGTCGGCAACTACTGCCACGACCTTTTGATTCAGGACTCCGCCGTCAAGGCCGAATCCCTCGGCGGCGCCGCTTCATTCATATCCAACATCTTCAACGAAATGTCAATCCCTTGCATGTTGGTCTCAAAGGTCGGCGATGATT